CAGACAACTAACCTAGCAGGAGTAGACAGCTAACATTGCAACATGACAAAACTAACCTTGTTGAGACATATAACTAACCTAGCACCAACAGACAACTAACCTAGCACCAACAGACAGCTAAAATTGCAATAGACAAAACAAACCTTGCAGTGACATAAAACTAACCTAGAAACATCATACAACTAACATTGCAAATTGATAAAACTAACCTAGCAGAGACATAAAATTAACCTAGCAACAGATGATAACTAACTTAGAAAAGAACAGAGACCTAAACTAGCAACAATACACTACTAACCTAGCACCAACAGACAGCTATCATTGCAACATGACAAACTAACCTTGCAGAGACATAAAACTAACCTAGCAACAAAATACAACTATAATTGCAACATGATAAAACTAACCTAGCAAAAAGCATACAGCTAACCTATCACCAACAGACAACTAACATTGCACCATGATAAAACTAACCTTGCAGAGTTATATAACCAACCTAGCGACAATAAAGAAGTAACCTAGCAGCATCACACAACTTAATCAAATAATTTCTTTTGTTTCAACTTTAGTGACTCCAACCTGAACAAAATCAGCATCAGATAATTTCTTTTGTTTCAACTTTAGTGACTCCAATAATGGTTGTTGTTGTTGTTGTAATGCCAAGAGTTCCATGTGATCATCGACAAAACCTCAGCCAAAACCACCCTTTTTCGCCTCAGCTATGGACCTCTTGCGCAACAACTCACAGTTCCAACCAATAAAGGAGGGCAGACTCCTTGGAACCTCACGGGATATAAAAACTAGCAGATCAACGTATAAAATCTGCATTATGAAAAAAAAAAATTATATATATATATAAAAAAACATGGAATATAAATTGTTTAAGAATAATATTAAATCACATTCTTACCACAAGGAAAAGAAAGGGGCCATTGAAACTACTCTTCTTGCCTTCATCCCATTTTAGTTTTTTAGCAATCAAATTTTGAAGAGTATAGTCAGCCCAATTCAAATCGGAGACACATGTTATGTCAGTAACCGACTTCAAGAAAAGAGGGTTGACATAACCAACAGAGTTGATAATACCGATTATAAGAGCATCCACCAAGACAGCAAAGTTACAGCAGAACATTTCACCACCGTCATTAAAATTACACTTCAACATTTTTTGGCTCACGTGTTCAGGAGTGATTCTTTCAGAAGATGATGGAAACTGACTCCTCCAGTTATCCAACAGGTCGCAAGTCTCAGATTTTGTCTTTAATTGAATAGGCTTATCACCTCTTGGGAAGCCTAAGACCTTCTCCACATCAACAGTTTCGATATGGATGTTCCCCTCCGAAAAACGCAAGACAGAGCTAACCGGGTCAAAATTATCCACCACCCAGAAAGCTAAATTGCTTGGAATCTCCTTAATCTTATAATGCAGCAAGTATCCAAAACCCATCTTTTCTACAGCTGTCTTCTGTTCATCATTTAATTTAGCAATTGACTCAACCAAAGTTTTTGCAGAAGATCGTGTTGACAGCTTTGGGAAATGAAGTTTATCATCAGACTGCCGTTTACGAGATGGATTGCCAGATGATGGATGAGTAAGCAAAAAAACTTCATCACCAGGCTCCATAACGATTTCTTCAAATTAAACTGAGTTACAAAAAAAAAAATGTTAAATAGATATAAGTAAACTTACAACTAACATTGCAGCATCAGAAAAGTAACCTTGCAGAGGTACATAACTTAGCAGGAAAAGATAACTAACCCAGCAAGAACATACAATTATCATTGCAACTGTATAAAACTAATCTAGCAGCAACAGACTACTAACCAAGCACCAACAGACTACTGACCTAGCACCAACAAACAGCTAGCCTAGCAACAACATACTACTAATGCAACATGATAAAACTAACCTTGCAGAAGTGTATACCTAACCTTACAGATATATACAACTAACGTTGCAACAGGATAAAACTAATCTAGCAATAGAAGACAACTATCGTGGCAGCTACAGATAACTAACCTAGCAGCTGCAGATAACTAACCTAGCAGTAATAAACAACTAACCTATCAAAAAAAAGAGAACTAACCTAGCACAGATATGTAACTAACCTAGCATGGAAAGACAACTGTCATTGCAGTTACAGATAACTAAACATAGCACTAACAAATAACTAACATAGCACCAACAGACAGCTAACCTAGCAACACCATACAACTAACATTGCAACATGATAAAACTAACCTTGCAGAGATATATAACTAACTTAGCACCAACAGACAGATAACATAGCAACACCATACAACTAATATTGCAACATGATAAAACTAATCTAGCAGAGATATATAACTAACCTAGCACCAACATAAAGCTATCATAGCAACACAATACAACTAACATTGCAACATGATAAAACTAACCTAGCACCAACATAAAGCTAACATAGCAAGACCATACAACTAACATTGCAACATGTTAAAACTAACCTTGCAGAGATATATAACTAACCTAGCAAACAGAGACCTAACCTATCATTGCAGAGATATATAACTTGATAAAACTATCATTGCAGAGATATGTACCTAACCTAGCATGGAAAGACAACTATCATAGCAGTTACAGATAACTAAACATAGCACTAACAAATAACTAACAAAGCACCAACAGACAGCTAACCTAGCAACACCATACAACTAACATTGCAACATGATAAAACTAAGGGTAAATTGCGCCAAACCCCCCTGTATTATACGAAATCTGCGCGTTATCCCCCTGTATTTTAAAAATTGCGTCATACCCCTTTGTATTATACTTTTGATTGCGCGTTA